TTCGTAAAAGGAAGCCGCACTGCAATTATGCGTTTTATCACAACGATGTTATCTTAACCACTCTGAAACTAAAATAATTATTTTTATGATATGTTAAAAGGGAAAACTTTCCCATCTTTACTTTTTTTGTTTAAATTTAAACATGTCAGAGAAATAAAGAAATTATTTCATTTTAAATGAAAGACGGAATGCAATTCCGTTTGTTTTCAACTGTATAGCATTTAGCGTTTATTTATTTTTATTTTTTTTGAAGGGAATACAAAGAAGTTAAGATTTATAATAATTTTATTGTGTGATCTAGTTAAAACTGGATGATGTATTTCTTTGAAAAAATAATTTCTGGAAAATTAAGTGAAATGAAATTCATCAATAAAACGTTTATAATTTTGTAAAAATTGAAATGCATTCTATTTAAAACATACTGTGTTCCTTTCATTAGGTTTGCAATGTGAGCGACCAAAACATGAACGGAAAAAAATTCTGGTGAAATTACTGTACTGCATGGTACAGTAATTTCACTCTTGGTTTTGAAAGAAAACGTAACTCTGGTAATGAAATCAAAATATATGGCATCTAAATTATTTATATTTTTCCATACATATGGTAACGGTTTACCGGAAATTCTTATTTTAAACATTTCAATATCAATTACCACATGTTTAGTTCAAAACTGAAAAGTAAATTTTACTCAATAAAAAGTTTTCATGCCATGCTCTAAAATATCTTGATTAAATTACCAAATTTACCAAATCTTATCAATTAGGACCACATATTATAGAACCATATTTTATTGCTAATTTCGCCAAAATCATTATTTAAGCTCTGCAGTAAAAATTACCGACTTATTTAGTGTACCGATAGAACCAGAAACACGCTAAATTTTGTCATATTTTGATTATTTTTTTATAGTTTTGACAGTACATTTTTCCCAGTGTGATGAACTAGCGAAATTTTTCCAACGAAAAGGCATAAAAAAACTTTAAAAAAATGAAAAAGAAGGGAAAAAAAAAGAACTCACTTTGGTTAAAGCGATAAGGATATGCATTATACGCAGTTAACAACAAATTATCAATTAGGATCACATATTACAAAACCATATTTTATTGGTAATTTTACCAAAATCATTACTTAAGCTCTTCAGTAAAAATTGCCAACTTATTTGGTGTACCGATAGAACCAGAAACACGTTAAATTTTGCCATATTTTGATTATTTCTTGATAGTTTTGACAGTACATTTTTTCCAGTGTGATAGCGAAATTTTTCCACCGAAAAGGCATAAAAAACTATAAAAAAAAGGAAAAAAGAAGGAATAAAAGAAAGAAAGAACTCACTGTGGTTAAAGCGATTAGGATATGCATTATATGCAGTTAACAAAAAAACTATCGAAGAAGATATCTAAAGTAATATTTGGAAATCAAGTTGAATTTTAATTTACAAAAAGACATCAAAGTTACGAATTTAACTGACAAAAATTTTTTTGTCCCTTTCCTTATGGCTTTGAACACTTACTTTTTTTATTATGAATAATAAATGAAAAGTTTAAAATATGAAAAATTGAAACATTTTTAAATTTATGTACGTTATAATCAGAATCAATTCCACAGATTTTGATAAAACTTTGGGTTTTGTTATTTAAAATTACATAGCTTAAAAGGATATTAAATTTTAATACCTTCCTATTTAAAAATACGTGATTTATTTTGCAAGAATTTTAACCTCAATTAGGATCAATAGAGGCAACCTAAATATTCCAAACTAAGTAAATAAACATGCCATAACTAAATAAAGTATTTTCAGATTATCTTACTTACAAAGCTTTCATTTACTTACAAAGCTTTCGTATACCTTTGATACATTCTATCGAAGAAATATATTATCTTTTTGTTATATCTTAAGTAAACGAGCAATATACTCACTCATTCACAAATACTGTCAAAAAGAAATTTCATTTTTTCATTCACTTTTTCGTCAACAAATGCGTCATTAAATGCAATAACGTTCCTATAATGATTTGCTTGATTTATTTCGCAAGAATTTAAACCATAATTAGGACTAATAGAGGCAACCTAAATACAATGTTATATATAATACTTACTAATAATGTATATATAATGCAAATAAATGTGTTTTAGCAAAATAATCAGATTATATTATTTACAAAACTTTCATATTCAAACTTTTGATAAATTTTATAGAAGAAATCTGTTATCTTTTTGTTATAGATTAAATGCAATGGCCAATATACTCCTTCAAAATTAATGTAAAATAGTAATTGTATTTTTTTCACTCTCAAATGCGTCATTAAATGCAATAACGTTCCTATAGTAATTAGTGTAAAAGTTTTATCGGAAAATTGATAAAATAAAAATTGTCATCAAATATCGTTTTTATCTCTTCAATTATCAGCAGCTGAAAGGACGCGAAACAAGACAAACCGTTGAAAGCCATCTCGACGCCAGCCGCATTATGACGCTATAACTTCTTTCTCAACTCAATTTCTTTAAAACATCGCGAAAATAGCATATTAAAACACATAAAATCTCAGATTTTTAAGAACTTAATGGCAGATATTTCATTGTTGTGAGAAGAGGAAATTTCAGTCTCCCCGCTTTCTCAATATAGCGTAACATCTTTTCGCTCACAATTCTTTAAGTACTCGCTACTGATAGAGGGTAAGCTTGCCCGAAAGTGGGAGACGGGTACTTCGATTTACGACCCAAGTAAATTTCATGTTATCGTTTGCTCTGAGATTAATAATGAAAATGTAACCCTCGTCCGCCTGTACGACTCCACGACTTCCACACTTTTACGACCCTACCCTAAAAGGGAACTACTTAAATGCATTTATTAATAAATGAAGTGTGTATAGTTGAGTTACGAATTAGAAGGGTGGTGATTTATGCGTACATAATTAAGTCTATAAATAACAAAGTTATTTTTAGATTTAGCAGCTAACAAAGATGCTTGATAATGATTTTCCTATAAGGTTATTTATTTAAAACAATAGAATATATATTTTTTTTAAAAAAGCAATAATATCACAAACAAAATGTCTTATGAGCTGAACACAATTATTATTTTCTTATAGATTATGTTGATTTCAAAAAATGGAATAAAATTAATATTGAAAAAATATCTTTGTTAACTGCAAGGGATATTAGCTACACTGTTAGAATTTTCTTTCTAAAAATACGGTAAAATAATCGGTCCATCCAATTAACCATCACGTTTACGGATTGGAACATTTCTTCAACTTTACAGGTTTAAAATCGTTTATAACTAGTGTGGTTTTAAAACCCGTGAATATAAAACTGCAATGTTTTGCTACCATTTACAACTAGCATGGTTTCAAAACCATGAAAACGAAATTTTACTGGAAGTAAAAGTTACATTATGCTAAGCTCTTTGTTAGGTAATGAGCATTAGAGTTAGGTTGTGGTTGTTTTATGTTTTGTCAAGTGAATCGGGAAATGTGACTTAATTAGTTTATCTAGTAGCACAGTAGGCCTTGGTCCTCTATGGGCTGTCACGCCACTGAGTTTAGTTTCTTTTTAGTAGTACCATGTAGCATAAGAGATAGGGGATATTCGATTTCTTTGTGTTAAACAAATCTGTGGTTGCTGCCATTTATACCTGAATGAATCCAGTGTTCCAATAGATCAGGGTCACCAATTGAGGAGTGCAAAACACTTGTTTTGAGGAAGTTGATGTGATATTGTAAACTCAATGCAGAGAACTCGAACCCACCTTCAACCAGTCATGAGATTAACGGATTAGACCACTCAGCGAAAATATGTACCCAGATGCAAAGAAATAAAATCTTCATAAGGTGTTCACTACCTGTCCTCTTATTACAATAAGAATGTTAGGCATCCGCAGGTGTGTTAGGCAATCTATTATGGAAAATAAAAATATGAATTCGTAATCTTTATAACATGGTTTTGCTTCAAGCTTTCTGAAAAATGTTTGCTCAATTCTCATGAGCTGTGATCCTAGTTGGCACTGATGAAATTTTGGTTATTTAACCGTATTACGTGAACACAGTTATGTTACCTTTGAAACCTTTAACTATAGTTGGATTCAATCAATAACCCCTTATTTATTTCATATTTTGGTTGCTTTTATGAAATTATTTAAAGTAAAATACCATTGAAAAATAAATGAATATTTTTTAATAAATATAATTTTTCTAATAACAATAGATTAAATTAATTAATAAATACATAATTAATAAATACATAATCATTTATAAAATTTTCACTATTATTTCCCATCACTTTTTTTCAAATGAAATAAAAAATACCTTATTTGTCTATTAAGAAATATGTTTCCCTAATAATGATTCACAATGTATACATCAGTTCGTTTTAGCCATCATTTCGAAGCAAGCCATATTTAGGCTTATATTTTTTGTTAATTTTCAGCTCTACATGCATACATTACACCAAACACAAATTTATAACTAATACAACTCAGTGACTTTAAATATAAAAGCCGGTTTAGCTGTTTAACTAACTTTAATGATAAAACAATGAAATCCCCTTTATTTGCTTTAAAAATGGTCTTTTATTGATAAATAGGTTCGCAATTGCCTTCATTTCTTTAGCTATCTTAATTGTTTACTTTAACTATGGGGTTCCGAATAAAGATGCTTAATTATTTAAGGTTTTATTACCAAAAATAATTAGAAACCTCTGTTTTAGGCACTTTTCCGATGCTATCAATTACTCTCCACTCTTTTAAGCTTCATAGGCAAAAAAAGCCAAGACAAGCACAGAAAACAACTGGTGCCATACATCATATAACCTTTCTGTAACATAAATAAATATTAAAATGCAGATTAATTTCGAAAAATGGAAGAACACAAAAAGGAATAATAACAGAACAACTAGTGTTGGCGTTTATTCATTTAAATTCATTAGAAGATTTGGAAGGAGGATTTCAACTTTTAAAAAAAATAAAAGATATTTTCAAAGAAATTATCTTAAAAAAAACTCACCTTTCGGTAATAACTCCTGAATTGCAAAAACAATCTGTCTCACTGACTCAGTTATAATTAAATTTCCGAGTTATAACTAGCGAATTATTTTACTGATTATATTGCTCAGTTTCAATTTCAGAACTCAGTTTCAATTAAAATATAACGAGTCAAAAGTTTTCTTATTACACCTGCATGCATGATCACACAAATATTTTTCGTAAGCGAACAAAAATTTACTAACTAAAACTTCTAGTATAGACCTGTTCTGTTATCAATTGCTCCTCTCAATCCATTACGCTTCATAGGTAAATACATCAAACTTATACGCAGAAAACATCAAAGATAAATGCCTCGCATCATAAAACTTTTCTGAAACATAAATAAACATTAAATGCAGATTGGTAATGAAAAATGACAGCGCCTTTAACTGACTAGTCATTCTGCCAATAATGTTGGCGTTTCTTCATTCAAACTCATCAGACACTGGGAAAGGAGGATGTAACTTAAATATTAATATAAACTGTTTTGAAAAGAGCTTTCCATTAAAAAACACCCTTTTTGGGACTATCTTCTCAAGTGCCCAAACAATCTGCCTCGTTAGCTTCCTTTTGCGCCAAATTGAAATTACCGAGAGTTAGGGCAAATGGACGATCATTATAGAATCTAATGATAGTTCTTTTCTGTCCTAAACTGCTAGTGACAGAAGCGATGTGATGTCGATCTTCAGTTGGTGTTGTTAAAAAGGAGAGAAAAAAGAAAAAATTCCAAAGATCGATGCTATTTGGTATTGAGTTTAATGAATGCAGCAGTAAGGAAATTGAAAATGATGAGTTTCAGAACTGCTGAAACACACTTTTTCGTTTTGGAAAATCGTTTAAGGGTAATGAGTGGAACAGCGCTCTTCCCTAATTTATTCTTCTTTTTTTTATTATTATTCCTTTCTTCTCATAAATATTCGCATGAAATTTCAGAGCTCACTTCACCTTGAATAGAATGAAAATTGAATTAACTATGAGTTGCTTATTCTTAGCTATTATAAGTGGATTTCTGACTGAATGGTTAATTATATGTTTTATCGAAAAAGGTTAAATCGTGTTTCACTTACAAGGTATGGTTTAATTAAAGCAAAGTTTATGTAGGATTTTTAAAGCTGTTAAATATTAGGGTATACATATATAAGTTATAAAATGCGTTAATATAAAGGAAAACTTTATGAACACATTTTATAACTTACGTGAATTTTGAAGTTTAATGAAGAAATATTGGTAATAAGTATAGAGTTATTAATGGTATTAATAAAAAAATAATGGTTTTAAGTAGTGTAAGTAATGACCTATTTGGTATTGAGTTTAATACAAATGTATAAGTATGAATGTAGAAACAGGAATGTATTAATATGAATGATTAATATAAATGTATGAATCTATATGAATGTATGAATTTATATGAATGTATGAATTTATATGAATGTATAAATATATGTGAATGTATAAATTTATATGAATGTATGATATTATAAGAATGTATCAAATTATATGAATGTGAGTCCAATATGACATTTTGTAACTTAAATAAATTTTGTAGTTCAATAAAATAGAACTAATGGTGTTGTGTTATTAATGGCATTGAGTGTTTGGTATTGAGTTTAATGAATGCAGCAGTAAAGAAATTGAAAATGATGAGTTTTAAAACTGCTTAAACACTCTTTTTTTGGGGGAGGGGGGAATCGTTTAAGGGTAATGAGAGGAACAGTTCTTTTCTTAAATATATTCTTTTAATATTATTATCAGTGTTCTTTGTTTTCATATATTTTCGACTGAAACTTCAAAACTCACTTCTTAAAATTAATAAAAATTGAATTTACTGTGATTTTTTTTTATTCTCAGCTATTATAAATGGTTTTATTAACTGAATAGTTCATTATATGTTCTAACGAAAAAGATTAAGTCACGCTTCACTGACAAGGTATGGCTTAAATTAAGCAAAGTAATGGTATGAATTTTAATGATATTAAATAAACTAGATCAAAGCTATATTAAAACTTTTTATAACTTATATAAATTTTGTAGTTTAATAAAAAAATGGTGATAATGAGTATTGAGTAGTAAGCTATTTGGTACAGAGTTAAATAGGAATGCATAAATATGAATGTATATAAATTTGAATGTAGGAATATGAATAATGAATATGGATGTATAAATTACTATAAATGCGATTCTAGTATGACATTTTGTAACTTATGTGAATTTTGCAGTTTTAGAAGAAAAACTAGTTGTATTGAGTAATTAAATAGTATTAGCAAAAAACATTAATTGTATTGAATATTGAGAGCTATTTAAAAAGATCCAAAATGCACATAAAATTTTATTTAATTGAATAATATATATTAATAAAATAAATTTTAAGGCGATCCAGATTATAGATAAGCTTTTTTTAATTACACGTATCTTAAACATTCATTACTACTTATCTGAAACATTTGTTATTATTACGTCTTTATTAAATAAAAGAAATTCACATTGATATTACATTTTTAAATAACTAATATATGATTAATTTTAACTCTACAAAGATATGTTTGAAGCAACACGTACTAATTACGAAATCGAAAGTAAACTTTAAAAACTGTAGTTAAATCAGTTGTAAAATAAAAAAAATTAAAAAAATTTACAGAAGCATTTTAAAAGTTATAAATTCAAAAACATGCCAACACACTGTGTAACCTCACACCCGTAAGGTCCTGGGTTCAAATCCCGTACAGGGTATGAATGTTCTCTGTACTATCAGTCCTTACTGTGGGAACAACGTTGGCCTACTTGATATGGGGCCCCTGAAAGAGGGCCCAACAAATCTGCTCTACTGATACTTGAATAACGAGTGTCAATCGGGTGAGCATTGGAAAAAAAAAATTTTAAAGACACTTCTAAGTGAATATTTCTACACGGAGAAAAAAATTCAGAAGCAATTACCGTACTCTATGGTAATACCATTTCCGCCAATAGAAAACTTGATTTGGCTAATTAAACCTAAATATTTGCTATTTGAACTATTCATTTGGTAATTTTTCCGTTCAAATAGCAACAGTTTACCGAAAATTCTGGTTTACAAAATTATTTCCAAAAATGAGTAAAAAATACAAAACTGAAATGTAAATTTAACCAAATAAATGGATTTCACGACATGCTCTGAGGCATCATGATAAAATTACCAAATTTTGCTACATTTACCAAATTCTATCACAAATTGCAAACCTATATGTTGTAAATTTCTACAAAATCATTATTAAAGTGGTTCGATAAAAATTAGCGAGCTTTTTGGTGTTCCCATGGAGCCAGAAAGATGGTAAATTTTACCATGTACTGGTAATATTGACCAAACTTTTTTCTCAATGCATGATTTCTGCAGATTAGAGCTGCAGTTCAACATTTTTATTTTTTATTTTCAGTGATATAAGTGCAAATTGACAAACTACAAACATCAGTATTCAAATCAGTATTTAACAATTAATCAAATATTCAACTGAAAAGAAACAATAAATGTGTTTAAAAATGAACAATTCAGACAGATTACATGAGAGTTTAGATATTTCCTTGGTAAATTTAATTCAAACATTTCAGCTTTTCAATTTTAAATTAGATTTCCTGTTTAATTTTCGTAGTTAAAATGTGCAAAATAAGAAAAATAACCTAAGGAAATGAAGTGATTAAATAAGCTCAATTGCTTTAAACATCAAATTTAAATTTCCGTTTCTTCACAATAATGCTCAGTTTCTATAAAAAAATTTTTAAAAAATTTATAAGTAAAAGTTTGAAAGAAGTTTGTAATCTATTTTTTCACCCAAAATTAGATCCTTAAAACAAACGTATTCACTATGGTATTTATAAAAATTTTCCGTTTTCTCACAAAGACGTTATGTTTCCTTAAAAAAATTGTTTCCTTTTTTTCATAAACATTTTTCTCAGAAAGTAACATTGTTTTCCGCGAACACTGAATTTGAAAAAGGAACTCCTGCTCAATAGCCCAAAACTCATCGCTAAAATAGTTAAATAAAATTAAAAATTCCAATATCATAGTTTTAATCACAGAAATTAATAAAATAAAACTTTATTTTAAATTAGTTAACCAATTATTACAATACTACAACATAACATGGAGACAATATGATTTTTAATACATTCTGGGAATATATATGAATAAAGATATAACCATATTAGCATAAATTCAGAAACGTAAATGTACTTTTACTCAAGATGGAGGGAATAAGCTGCAGGTTTATATAAAGTCTTAATTATTACGTATAAACGTAAGCATTATTGATTTACATTATGGGGACTGAAGTTTTAACTTGATTTATTCTAACTTATGATAAAATAGTTAGCAGACTCATCTCAAATTCATTCAATATAATTTAGAGTTCTAACTCTTAGTTCAATCAGAAGATTTGATGTACTAAATACATGCAACGTATAATAATCTTGTAGTTAAAGGAAAGATATTATTTCACACTTCATAATTATCTGTTACATTGCAGGGATTTAATAAATCATAATTAGAATATTTTAAATAACATCGTCAAGTTTTCTGCAAATTCTAGTAGATTCAGAGACCAAATTTTACATGGTATAAAATTCGTTCTATAAACTTTAGTTTCGTTATATGCAAACGTGTTAGATTCTTTATAATTTTAATCAATTTCTTGCATTCAAAAGTATTTATTGATTTAATTTTTCATTGATCAAAATTAATATTTCATTTCACTTACAAAGACTAAATCTAATGAGATTTTATGTGAAAACAACTTATTTAAATAATTAAATTCAAATACTTTAGATAAATTTCCTTAACACTACTTTTCTTTTCAAAATAAAATAGTCAGAAATACATCTCCTTATAACTTTACATTTCTAAATCCAAAATATAACTGTCAATAGCTGATGCCAATAGAACGAAATATAAACATCAATCTAAAATAGATAAAATCCACAGTAATGAAGTATTTTTATAAATTTTAAAGCGACCTAATAAATGCAAAACAGTATTATTGTATTTTGATACTGTAAATGTTATTGCTACTCCAGACTATAGCTAAAAGTCTAAATATTTCTAAAACTTTAGTTAGCAAAATTTATCAAAGTAGTTCCTTTTTAGTTCTAATAATTTACATTTTGGAAATATTAGATAAAAATATCTTCTTGCTTACAATTAAAGTGATACCAGTATTTAATCTCGAAACGTACGAGTGAATCTTATCAATAAATGATAAGACTTCAAAGAAGAAATTATCGAAGAGCAGATTGAGAAGTGTAATACAAACATTCTTTCCTACATAAGTTCTTTTCAGACATTTGCATTTGAGATTATCTTTTAGAATTATTTCTCGAAAAATAATGCGTTTAAATGTCGTCTGATATTTTTCTACTTCAACTTTATCGTCTGCTTTCAGAAGATAAATATGAGTTTCTTGCTTATCTGTAAA